CGTGATCGCTCACAGAGATCTGAGGGTGGCTCAGGGAGAGGGGGGGGGAGGAGGAAGTGTCAACTCACGCTCGCTGAAGAACATCCCCCGCCGGCCCTCCCTCTTCAAGGTCAGTTGTCGCCCAAATGTCTCACACCTCTTACTCCCCCGTCATCTCTCACCATCATCTCACTCCATCTCACCCTCTCTGCTGTAATATTCTGCTATTTGTAAACCTTTTTTTACATTTGTATTCCAGAACCGGGACTCAGATAAGAAGTCTGGTGATGGTAAAGGAGATCAGAGCAACACGAGAGGCGTCCCTATCAAACAGGTACAAAAGAACAGCTGTTAATACATAATATATATTAATGAGGCTTCAGTTTGCTTGAAGCACAATCATATGCACCATCTCCCTCTTTAGTAAAACAGTGAGGAAAAACTACTTGTTTCACCTTTTTAATGGAGGGATACAACACAACTATATATCCAGGACTTATTACTGCACTCTTATACTGTAATGAATCTCCTCAGTTTGACTTACCGGTAATCATTTAAGATCAGAATCAGACATCCTTTATATGTCCCGCAGCGGGGAAATGTGCATTGCTAGAGCAAAGGTTACAGTTCAGATAAAAGGCAACACAAACAAAGAGTAAAATAGTAGACTGACATATTAAATATAGAGGCAAGCACATGCAAAGTAATTAAACAAGTACACATCCATGGTAAAAAAAAAGAAATGTTAAAACCCAAATGTGTTGATGCTTTTGTAAACACAGGGTACTCATTTGTGCCAAGGATTTATAACCATAGGGTCCAATACAAATAAATCATTCCTTTTCTTTTTATTGTGGGCAGGAAAATAAATATTGAAATTGTGGGGGATACCTCTGTAGCAATGGAGAGTCAGGACTCAGAGAGACACGAGGAGAGCTGGAGCTTTGATGGCAAACACTGATGGTTTATTTGGAGTTACGGCCGGAGAGTTGACAAGACAGGTGGAGTGTCACGAGTTGACACAGCGGTTGCCAAACCAACCTCTGAAGAACTCTTTCTGTAGCTCGAGGTTTTAACTAGTTCTGAGTGTAATAATCAACATTCTTCATCAGTGAGTCTAAAGCAAAATGGACCCTGAATCTAACTAGAGCTCTCGTCCATAGGAAAGAAAGTGCGCCAGGGAACCTTCGTCCCTGAACTGTAAACTACCTCGTGGCGGCTTCTGCTCTGTCATAGACTGGCAACAACAATGCGCCCAGGCTGCTCCCCCTTAAGAGAGATAGCAGCAATACCCAAAGCTGTAGACCTATGCCATGGGACAAGAGACAGTGAGAGGAGAAAATGATGAACTGTGTCGAAGGTTGAATACCTATGCAAATTATTCCCTAACAGAAATGATTTTCGCAGAGCACAAAACAAAGTCATTTATTCCAGTAGCCTCCTAAGGCTCTTGTCCTTGGTATAAATATAGAGACTATTTTTACAGCACTGCATTGCACGGGATTATTGTGAGTAATGGCAACTGATGAGGATATTGACAGCTTGTGTTTAAATCATCGAGCATATGTGCACTTCATGGTAAAGAGCGAACGGCTGGTCTGTAACCTGCTCTCTCTTTACACCAAGAGGGGCTGCACAGAGAAAACAATCATATATTTAATTCAATTATCTGCATTTCTTGGTTATTCTATGTCTGTACATCTAACATGAGCATCCAGAGATACAACAACCTTTCTCAAGGGTGTTCTATTTATATGGTGCAAGTGCTCTCAGCTATTGTTGTCAGACTGATTTACTCTTTGAGGAAATTGTCTCTTTTATGTCGACTCTAAATATAGGCAGATTGAGATGTGGTGTGTTGTCGCTGCAGACTGTGACCTCGCTTGTTGTTTTTGACAGAGCATCCTGTGGAAGAGAAGCGGCAGCTCTCTGAATAAGGAGTGGAAGAAGAAATACGTCACGCTGTCCAACAACGGCCCGCTGTCCTACCACTCCAGCTCCAGTGTAAGAGCGGGTCGATGTGAAAGGATTCTCTGAGGGGGGGATTATATCTGAGGCTTTTTAGATTCAACTGCGGTTTCTACTTCAAAGAGATCGCAGGAACTGCTTTGAAACTGTTACTCACTATTGATTTCTTATTTGTTATACCCAATGACATTCAGAGCATGTATATTGAGCATGTCATTACGTTTCCTACACATACATTTATGTAAGTGTTGACATTCTTAGGTACTTGTACTTTATACTTCTTCTACTCCACCTCTTTATACTTCTACTCCACTACGATTAAGGAACATATTGTACCTTTAAGTCCACTTCATTTATTTGCTAACTTACAGTAGGTTATTTTGCAGATTCAGAAAAAGATAATACAAGATGAATTCATTAAACTAAGCTCCACCTTAACCGGCTGCAAAACTAGAAGTAATGCATT